GGCAGGGCACAGCCCGGTGCAGGGCAGGGCACAGGCCGGGGCACGGCAGGGCACAGCCCGGTGCAGGGCAGGGCAGGGCACAGAGCAGGGCACAGCCCGGTGCAGGGCAGGGCACAGGCCGGGGCACAGCCGGACACGGCCCGGTGCGCGGCAGAGCATGCCTCCTGCACGGCCAGGGCACAGCCCAGTGCGCGCTGGGGTGTGGAGCAGGGCAGCAGCAGTGCACTGCCCTGGGCATGGCCAGGGCACGGCCTGGTGCACAGCAGGGCACGGAGCAGGGCCCTGCCCTGGGCATGGCTTGTGCACGGCCAAGGCCCGGCCCGGTGTACGGGCAGGGCACGGTGCAGAGTGCAGCGAGGGTACGGCCCTGTGCAATGCAGGGCACGGAGCAGGCCACGGCGGGGCACATGCCTTGCGCGTGTCAGGGCGTGGAGCAGGGCACGGACTCGTGCACAGCAGGGCACCACCCCGGGCACGGCTTGGGCATGGCCACAAACGGGTGCACGGTGGGGTATAGCCAGGACACAGCCGAGTGCGCAGCACAGCATGGAGCAGAGCGCTGCCCTGGGCACGGCTTGCGCACAGCCCGTTGCACAGCAGGGCGTGCAGCAGGGTACAACCCAGTGCATGGCATGGAGCAGAACCCTGCCCTGGGCACGGCCCAGTGCAGAGCGGGGCATGGAGCAGGGCACAGCCCAGGACACGGCTGGGCACGGCCAGGGAGGGCAGGAGGGCGCTGGCTGTGTGGGCGGCATTGCCCTGGCCACGCTCTGGGCCATGCAGTGTCCTGGTCGCGTCCTGCCTACGCAGCCGGTGCCCTCCTGCCCTCCCTGGCAGCGGGGCAACCCCGGGGCCCCGCTTCCCGTTCCCTGTGATTCATCATTTGCTGCAACTGCAGGAGATAAACCAGGACTGCTTTTATTTCGCTTGGGCTTAGGCGGCGATGCCCAGCCCAGTGCTGGCTGGGAAATGTTAACGCATTCGTCTTTCATTGTGCATAATTAAATTAATGTTACAATCAGCAAACAGTATTGCTCTGGAGACAGAAAACCCTCCAGAAGCCCTCAAAAACTCCTCGCCCTCTTCATCCCCACAAACAGAATAAAAGCAAAGAAAACAAGCTAGAGAGAAACGAGCAAAGGACACGCTCAGCGTGATAACTGTCCAGTTCCAGCAAATCACCTAATCTGAATTGGCTTATTAATAACTGCTGGGGTTGATGGAGCCTTTCCTTTTTGCTTCTCATTTAGAGCTGAAGAATTCCGCATTTTCCCCAGCAATGATTCTGCATTATTCAGGAATGGTTTCTGTACCAACAAGCCCAAGCTTGAGCCGTGCATCAAACCCTTCTCCGCCTGTGAACTTCCCCCTCAACTGCACCAATATCCGGACACTTTTTTCCTAATAACAGGGAATTTCTACAATTTGATTTCGCCGTTTCCCCGGGGCGAGGTGGGGCTGGCATCTGCGAATCAGCACTGAATCAGAAGATGAGCGAGAGGAACGGGTAACTTCACACTATAAACACATTTCCCATTGCATCGTCCCCAAAAAGACGCTTACATGCCGGGGAAATTGGGGAAAACCATCCTCCCCTGCTGCCGAAGGGCAAAGGCCGGCGGCAGCCGTGCTGCTCACACCTTCTTCAGGTCCTCGGGGCCGAAGGAGAGTGGCAGCAGCTCCTCCAGCCTCTTGACGATATAGGTGCCGTCCGCTTTGGTCAGGTAGATGTCCCAGTCCGTGCCGAACTGGAGGAGAAGAGAGGGGAGAAGTGCCTGATGCAAAACCTGTGCTTCTTCCTCAAATTACTCAAATAATCCTTTTTTTGGCCGGGCTCACAGAGAGCAGCCCCCTCTATTGCATGTATTTTGGGGCGGCTTTTCAGCACCACCTGCCCCGGGGGATATTTTGGGCTCAGATCCTGTGTTTTTGCCCCCCCCCAGGGTGAGCCTCGGTGCCTCCAAACCTGCCAATGCTGCCTTCAAGCCGAGCCCTGTGACCCGTTAAATATTAACCACCCAAAAACGGGCTGCGGGTGCCGGGGTGCCCACGGGGAGGAGGGAGGCGAGAGCAGGATGGGCACCGCGGGGAGCTCGGCTTTTGCAGGAAAACCACTGCTTTCAGGCTTGGCAGAGCCGGGGCGGCGGCTCCGGGGCCAAACTCTGCACCTGGCAGCTCC